ACAGTTGCAAGACTCTGGAGGACTCTACACCTTGATTTCTGTGGGATCCAGAGGCACCAGCAGCTTCAAATATCTGCTGCTATGTAATGGTATTTTAGCAGCTGCTATCTTGATCCGATGCATGGATCTGGCAGAAAATCTTCCTCAATTTGCCTTTATCTGCACAAACCGTCTGTGCTCTGAATCAGCCACAAATCTCTTAATAGTGGAATGATCACGCTTAAGTTTTTGTGAAAGATCTAATGTTTTCATACCTCGTCCAAGGCATTGAACTATTTCACTTTTCGGCAGCAGAGAGATCCTTTTTCTTCCCCATATTGCTTGAAAATGGTGCTCTGCTTAACAATGTGGAACACCCTCCTTTAGTAGATTTTCCTTAACCACATGCCGCCCAGCCACTGTAGATATACGGCGGCAGGGCGGCACTGGCAGGCAAAACCACGTTTTAAAATGTGTGTTTTGTAAACAAATAGGGGGCGCGCGTGCAAGGCGCGCGCCGCCCTATCTGTCCCGCCGATCACCGCTGCAGATGTGAGTCGCCGGGTCACAGCCGGTCCTTAGCGGCTATCTCCCGGCGATCGGCGGCAAACAGTGACAGACAGCACAGCTGCAGTAGCTGTGCTGTCTGTCAATTCCCTGTCGCTCCAGGATGAGCTGATCGAGAGAGAACAGTTTCTCTTTCTCGATCAGCCTTGTCCCGTCCAGTACGCACACCCGCCCCCTAGTAAAACACTCCCCTCACTCCTATGACCCTTCCCTGCAAAATAAAGTTAACCCCTTCCTCCCCATTGCCATTAGTACAGTGTCAGTGGTTTTTTTTTTTTTTTTTTTGCACTGATCACTGTATTAGTGTTTTTGGGGATGTCAGTACCCCCCAATGTCAGAATGTCCGCCGCAGTCCCGCCATAAGTCGCTGGTCGCCGCCATAAGTCGCTGGTCGCCGCCATTATTAGTATAAAAAAAACCCTAAAAATCCCAGTATCTTTCCCGCCATTTGTAAACGCTATAACTTTCACGTAAACCAATTAATTTACACGTATTGGGTTTTTTTTTTTTTTTAGAAAAGACATGTCGCAGAATGCATTTTGGCAGAAATTTATGACTAAATTTGATTTTTTTTTTTTTTTTTTTTTTTTTTTTTTTTAACTGGACATGTTTTATAGCAAAAAGTCCAAAATATTGTTGGTTTTTTTTTTTCCCTCAAAATTGTCAGCCTTTTTTTTTTTTTTTTATAGCGCAAAAAATAAAAACCGCACAGGCAATCAAATACCACCAAAAGAGAGCTCAATTTGTGGGGGAAAAAAAGGATGTAAATTTCATTTATGTACCGTATTGCATGACCGCTAAATTGTCCGTTAAACTAGCGCAGCGCTGTATAGCAGAAAAATGGAGTAATTTGCAGTATCTCTACCATAGTTTGTAGACGCTATAACTTTCACACAAAGCAATCAATATACACTTATTGGGATTTTTTTTACCAAAAACGTAGCCGAATAAATTTTGGCCTAAATTTATAACCAACTTTGAGTTTACTATATATTTTTTTATAGCTGAAAGTAAAAAATATTGTTTTTCTTCAAAATCTTTGGCCTTTTTTTTTGTTTTATAGTGTGAAAAATAAAGCGCACAGGTGATCAAATTACACCGAAAGAAAGCTCTATTTGTGTGAAAAAAAGGACGTAAATTTCATTTGGGTGCAGTATTGCATGACCGCGCAATTATCAGTTGAACTAGTGAAGCGCCGAGTAGCAAAAAGAGGCCTGGTCATTAAGGGGGTAAATCGTCAGGAGGGCAAGTGGTTAAATTGGGCTCACCGGCAAATCTAATTATCACAGGTGTCCGAGATTGTTTTCAGTGATCAAAAGAGCCCTGACACACAATGCCATCCATGAGTTAAACTGAAAAACAAAATTTCATCTTTGTGACACGTAAATAGAATTTGCATAGTTTGGAACGCGGTGTAGTTATGTACCATGAGGCTGTATATTCTGCAATATTTACATTTTTGGTAAACTCATTCAATAATTCTAAGCTCTGCAAGCTGAGATAACATGCACTGCATTGATGGTTTCACACAATTTCACAGTAACCATGAGAAAACCATGAGGGGGGGTTGCAAAAATTGGAGCACTCAGAATCTGGTGTAGCTGTCCATAGTAACCATTCTGCTTCTAATTTCAGCTTGTTCAGTTGAGCTTTGACAATCAAACCTGGAAGCCGATTGGTTTCTATGCAGAGCTGCACCAGATTTTTACATTTTTCCAGTTTTAGTAAATAACACCATATTGTGGTGTTTTTGTTTTTTTTTTGCATATCTTCTTAGTCTGTACTAAAATATGCAATGGATATTTTAACATTTTATACTGTTATTTTGAATTCTCTTATCCAAAAAATACAGACCTGAGGTTTTAATTTTATGTATTAGTTTTGTGGTTTTTTTTTTTTTTTTTTTTTTTTTTTTTTTTTTAAATAAACATTTGTGATTGCCAGGATCTGAGTGTTGGAGTACTTGAAAAATGTTTTCCATTTGCTTTTTTGGCTTTATGTATGAATGTGTATATGTAGTGTACATGGAAATGCATGGGACTCCTTTTTAGGGTAGGTTCAAATCTATGCACTGCATTAGTGTGCATGCATTTTCCCATGGGGGTGCTTGTGCATGCGTGCACTCAAGCCCATCTACTGCGTCCATTGACAGCAGCTCCCTCTCCCTCGTCACTGGTTTTTATTGCCAGCAGAAGGAGCTAATGGCCCCTGGTGCCCCAGCAAAGTCAGTGAGAACCGGAAGTGAGGGGAGAGGAGAGCTACAGCGCTGGATCGAATGAGAGCTTAGGTAAGTGTGGGGTGGGGGGGGGGGATTCTGATACCTAAACATTTTTTTTTCTACCTTAAAGTGGAACTCCACCCAAAAGGGGAAGTTCTGCTTTAACCCCTTCCCGCCGACGCCTCCCAGCCCTTTAAGAGATTCTGACGTCGGGAGGCGGGGCGCTGGGGCGTGGTTTAGGAATCATGTGACCGCCGTGATGACGCGTCACGGCGGTCACATGATCGGGAAAGGTCCCGTTCGAAAGAGCGGAGCGGGACCTTTCCGTGAGTACTACACATGTGTGCGGGGAGCGCGCAGGGGCGCGCGCTCTCAGCACATATGTATTTAGTTCCATGGACGCAAATGTGCGGCCGCTCGGCGTCTAGGCCCAGACGCCGGGAGGCCGCACATCTGCGTGCGGCCGGCGCAAAGGGGTTAAGGACTGTTCCCCACTCCCCATTAAGGATTGACACCTGCGGGGGGAGGGCGAATAACCAAATTTGACAGGTACCCGCTCCCACTTCCGGTCCAATCGCCTAGGCCAGGGGTGGGCAACTGTGGCCCTCCAGCTGTTCAACTACAAGTCCCATCATGCCTCTGCCTTTGGGAGTCATGCTTGTAACTGTCAGTTTTGCAGTCCCTCATGGGACTAGTTCTAAAACAGCTGGAGGGCCACAGTTGCCTACCCCTGGCCTAGGCGACCGGAAGCAGAAAATGTCCTCCCTTCCTCCCTGTAGTCTTTTGGGACACGTGACAGGTCCCAGAAGACTACAGGACCGTTCATGAAGTGCAGCGCTACTTGCTCATGTGCAGTGGGTACCCGGCTGTGAAGCCGCAAGCGGTTACAGCCTGGTGGCCCACACTGAAGATGTCGGCCTCCTGGAATACAGGATGGCCAGTGAAGCAGGCTGCAGGGGACACACTGCGGGACCGAGGGACAGGTAAGTGGCTGTTTTTAAAAGTCAGCAGCTACAGTTTTTTTACATGGCGAGTGGAACTCCACTTTAATAGCAGGAATGCATTAAGGTAAAAAATGGTTAGGCCTTATAACCACTTTAAAGCAGTCCATTCGTTTTGAATGGGCTGCTTGCTGCACAAAAATAACACCAAAAAAGTGCTTTTCTAGTATAGTACACCACAGCCCATAATAGTATGTTACTATATGTGGTGCCCTGGAACACTTGCTTTTGGCCAGCAAGTATGAATAATGCTACAGTGCACTAACGGACAACATGGTAATTTTAATACTTTGCGCTGTTGCATGTTACCACAGCATATACTGTAGATGTGGAAAAAAAATAGAAAAAGTAATAAAGTAACAGATTGTGTGCTCCTAATTGTGGTAATGGAGAATAAGAAGAACCTGGCGCTGTAGATGGTGTGCAATAAGGATGGCTGTTATGCATACTCATCATTCGACTGCCAGACTCCTTGTACACCAGCTACAGTGCAAGGTTCTTGAATATTTTATTTCTAGTATTGGTTTATTGCATATGGATGTATCCCAATCCTGCTTTCTACCTTAGGCTGGTCATAGATGGATCGTGTGGTGGTTTTTTTTTTTTTTTTCTTTTTTTTCATCCACAAGCAAGGTGAATGATGGAATCCTCCTAGCTGGGACATTGTATACTGATATTCTTCACTGTCAGAATACAATGATCAGCGGCTGATTGAGAAAAATTATCCAACAAGCCCAATTGACAGAAGTCAATCATTAGGCCTCATTCCCATGGAGTACTAAAGTGTACTCCCATGGCCAGCCATGATTTAACTGCTTGGGGATCCACAGGTGTTCGGTGCATCCCCATGCAGGCAGTTCCATTGATGTCAGTTGGGACACAGCAGCTGCACGGACACACACTGCTTCCAATCTGACATCCATGTGGGTAAACACTGCCCTCCAGGGGCACACGCTTTAGTATGCCCTGTGTAAACAAGGCCTTAGATCAACATCTGTGGATTGGGAATGGCCACATATGGATCAAAATTCGACCAGTTCAGGACTGGCCGAATTTCAATCTATCTATGGCCAGCTTTACGCTGCTGGATCGATGTTTGTTTGTGTTTTTATTTAAACCTTTTCTGATGGGTCTTCACCTGACAAACACTGGTACATCTGAACTTGTTTTGTCTTAAATTAACAATGCCCACTTTAAATATTATTGTACTCATTTTTAATTTTTCTCCTTTGCAGATGGATCGTGAAAAGTCCAACATAGAAAACAATTTACAAGACCTGCAGAAGACTTTGGATGTCGTTAGGAAGGACCTGTGTAATGAACAACAGAGAAACAGTGAGTTGGTCGAGCAAATTCAGGCTTTCCAGCAGGAAAACCTTCACCGGCAGGAGCAGGACAATGGGAATAACCTTGTGAAATGCTCTTGTGGACAGGAAGAAACTGAACTGGCTAAACTTGAAAAAGAGCTGAAAGAAGTCCAGCAAAAATATCAGATGTTTGAGGAAAAGTACCAAGAGGAACAAAAAAAGTGGGGAATGAACAAACAAGCTTCCCGTAATGAACTGCAGTCATCTTTCCAATCCGAGACCGATGACCGAGGGCTCTTGTCCGATCTCCAGGAAGAGTTGAGGACAGCACGGAGGCTCTATTGTGACTTTCAGAGCAAGCTCAATCTAGCCCAGGAGGAACTTTTGGCATTCATAGAAGAGCTCGCTCACCTCTACAACCATGTCTGCATGCGAAATAACCTGACGCCAAACCGCGTCATGCTTGATTATTACAGAGATGGTAAAGGAGCAAAGGTACTTCTCAGAAAAAGAAAATCTTCAGACTTCTTTGGAAAACTTGTGGTTAGCCCTGATATTGAGATAACAGAGCTTCACAGTGGTGAGCGATCCCCACTGAGTAGTCCTGACTCTACTTTGGGGTCAGATTGTGCGGACTCCCCTAGAGAGCTGCTTAGCATCACTCATCTTGTAGCCATTGTCAAGGACCAGATTAAACACCTGCAAGGTGCTCTTGCTGTGTCGTGGCACCAGACATCACTGGACAGTATTGCTTCTGATATGGAAAAGGACAAAGAGGTTCTGGTGGAGGAGGTCATGAAACTGAAAGCTTTGCTGAGCACTAAGAGGGAACAAATAGCAACTCTGAGGACTGTTCTGAAGGCTAACAAGCAGGTACATTTTGTCTTAATCAAGGCTCCTGGTTGTGTACTATTTATTTTTTAACTGTCCCGCTGTTCTGTTTTTTTAATAATTGTTAGTGTTTTGTATGTTTTTATACTTTTTTTCGTAATTTAATAAATTAACTTGGCCCTTTTAAGATTCGCGTTTTATTTTATTTGACATGGATTAGGGGGGTCCTGCTATTTTTACTTCTTAAATAGGCCAACGTTTGGGCATTATATTTATCTAAATGTATTGGTTTTAAAGCTGATCTCCATGTTTGATTTAACTTTAGTTTTTTAGGACCAAGCTGGTCCAAACAAACTCTTCACTAGCAGTTGCAGCGGTTGTGTGTGCTGTATAAACTGTAGGTAGCCCCAGCTACATACAGTATACAGCGTTGTTTGCTAAGTCCTGTCCATTCCCAGAGCAAATTCGAGTCAGTGCGTGCCACTCAACCATTCAGAGGTAGCATTGTAGTCTATGAATGAATACAAAGATTTCTCTGATTGGCTGGGGTGGAGTTTGTGATGTCATCAGCCTGTATCTCCACCTTAGCCGATCAGAGTAAGCTTTATATTCGTTCATAGAATACAAGGCTTCCTCTGGCTGAGCAGCGCCAGGAGCAGGGTATTAAAGTATAACTAAAGGCAAGACACTTAACCCCCGAAACCCACCCCCCTGTTTTGGACTGAGGGTTTATGATCTGTGACAGTTTTTATTGCTGTCTGCAGGAAGGTTCACCCTCTATTTTCTCTCTTTTGTTCTGTTTACCATTATTGTTGAAAGTAAAGAAAATCCCGAATTTTGGGCTGTCCCCAGAAAACTAACAAATGTTCCAAGGGTTACTTTAGTTCTGGTGACGTGGGGTACCCCTAGGGATTCTTTTAATTTGTGGGGATTTCCTCTCACTTCCTGCATTGGCTGTGGGACAGCAAATGAAGGGAAATCTCCAAAGTGGGACACAGTTGGCAAGAAAATCTGAAAGGGGTTATAACCCTCCCTTGCTCTATCCAAAATGGAGAAAAAAAACAATTGCCTATAGTTCTACTTTAAAACTACATCCTGCTACCGGAGCTGTATACTGTGTAGCTGAGGCTACATATAGTGTGTACAGTGCTCCCGGTGAAGTAAATTGTTTGGGTCAAGCTGTGTTCATACTATTTAAAGGTAATTTAAACCTGGAGATCAGCTTTAAAGTGTATCTTAACCCAAGAACGAAATATAATGTATATATTGTAGTTTACCGGTCCTTAGATGTTCTGGCTGCATTCGTTTTTTGTTTGCAAGGACAGAACCTGTTGATCCTGCCATAGCCCCAGTGCTGTTGTAAGATCTTGATATCTCAATTTATTTAGTTCTTTGTGCCTTTTTGTAAACCACATTACTTCCCCTTTATGTAATGGAGATGGATTGCTGGAGACATTTGCAGTCCTCATCAGGAGTGCAGCATATGGTGACAGCGCTGCTGTTAATAGATACAGTACAGTGAGTGTCACCCTAGGACAGGAAATGTGTTATTGGCAGAAATACCAGGTAAGAAAATGAATGCTGCCACCACATCTAAGGACTGTCAAGCTTCAGTATATTACATTTTTTAGATATGCTTTAAGCCTAACCTAATTTTTGACCACACAGGCCAAAGCTACAGGTTCACTTTAATGTAGCCCTCCCCTGCAGTAAATGCAGTATTTGGCTTCCTTTTAACTCCCCCATTACTTCATTAGGCTGTCTGGAGCAAAGGAAAGTCCTTGAAAGCTAAGAGGTGCCCAAGTCTTTGCCTACACCATGCTATAGATCCCATTTTGATTGCACTGGTGGGCCCATGATCACATGGGCCGAGGGTCAGATCTTTTGCTATGCCTTGAATGGGTAAAGCAGAGGTTTCCTTTAAGGCACATAGCTAACCTTTCAATGATTACATTTATAATAAGCAATTGATTTTGCAGATGGGCAGCTTTTAAAACGTGGACATAAAAATTGAGCCGGGAGCCATTTAAAGCTTAAAGTTTATTTTAATAGAAGTATTGTTTAGTTTTTTATATATTTAACACAGTGGAGTACTGAGCTGTGTGCTAATATGTCTATAGTCAGCTTTTGCTTAATATTTAAGAATACCTTTTATTAGCAGATGTGTTAAGGTGAACGTGACATGACCTTTAGCCTGGGTTCACATATATGCAGTACTGTACATCGCATGTGATTCACACAGGAACCGCATTGCTGTGCAAATCGCATGCGAATTGTGTGCTGTGCGATTGAAGCCATACATTTTGTATGGCTCTAATCACATCGCACCCTCACCAAAAAGGTGCAGGACCCCCCTTTTTTTTTTTTTTTTTTGGTCCGCACTGGAATCGGTTCGCATGGGCATTCACACCTATGTGGTCCGATTCTGCACATCGCACCAGGTTTTGTGGACCAATTTCGGGGTGTTGACATACACACCCGCAGCAGTTCGCATGAACGGGGTGTGATTCTGATGTGGTGTGGAATTTGCACAGAAAATGCTGCATCGGTGTGAACCCAGGCTAGAGTGGAATTTCCATCAAAACCTAAATCTTAAAAATGCTCCCTCCCCCCTCAGAACACCTTTGCAAACTAACCTGTGAAAGTGTGTATATACTACCTGTTTTCAGGCTGCTCCAGTCCGGTTGCGTGATCTGGCTCAGCCAGTGTGGCTGCAGGGGAGAGGAGGGAGTGCTGACAATTGATGGACCATTGAAGCCTATGGGTGACGACATCCAGGCTTTGCTAGATGCTGTTTGAAATACTGTCTCTTCTACCCTGCAGCCGGTGCTAGCTGACACTGGGGAAAGTCATGTGACCATGTTGGAGTGGCCTGACGATAGGAGCGTTTTTAGTCAATGTACACTTAAAGAGTGCGGGCACATTATTGTGCTTGCATATACCTATATTAAATCTTCAAATCTGTGCCTTGGTGAAGCCCCAACATCCCAACTTCTGGCCAAGTACACATTTTAAAGGACTCGGTACTCCTGAAAACCTAAAGAATGTTACTACCTAAGGTCTCTTTCACATGATGCAGAGGCCCATACAATGTGCAAGAGCCATTAGTTCATTAATGTGGAGCTGTGTAGGCAGCCTATGTTAGTTAATGGAGGTTCAGCAGGCTCTCCGACACATCTGAGCGTGACAGGTATGCGATAGTATATGTTTGGGAGACATGCACTTGATCCTGTACACTTGGGAGTCTGTACGGCCACTGCACCCCCATTGACTATTGTAGACTACTTGCACATAGCTCTACCCTGCTCTGGACGCATAAACAAACCACTCTTGCACTTTATATGGGTTTCTGTGCCTGCGTGATGGAGATCTTAGAGCAGAGGCAATTAAATACCTGCCATTACTTTAATTGGTCAGAAAAGCCTACTTTTTATTACCTTCTCTAATTTTGTTTCTCTTTTGTAACTGGTTCCTGACTTCATAGCTAAGCCCTCCAAACTGTCCTTCACCGATTTTTGCCTTCATGGCCACTAAGAGGACACTTATTGGGTAGGGGTAGGTTAGTCAGTGGAGCATAGCCATGAAGTCAGGGAAATTCAGAATACAGAAACAAACCCGTAACCTAATTAGGTTAGTGGCACAGAAAAGGCTTTTTCTGGCTAATAAAAGTATTTGCATGCTTCTTGTGGTGTCATTGTCTTAAGCTTTTAAAGCAGTGGTTCTTAACCTTTTTGGAGGTACTGAACCCCACCAGTTTCATATGCGCATTCACCGAACCCTTCTTAATTGGAAAAATAAAATATGATTTTTAAAATTCAAAACATAGGTATATATTTATACATAGGTGCACAAAATGAACAAAACCATTAAGAACAAAGAACAAAACCATTAAAACATGATTTTCACACAAAAACAAAATAATGAATATTTACCGCAAATCAGTGTGACTTCTGCTGTTGTCTTTCAGAGTCCAGTTCAGAAATGCGCGGCATTACCTTGGCAAGTGCCACTCTCATGTCATTTTCGCAACAAAGTTTGTTCCTTTTCTTCGTCTTTATGTCCAGCATCCTCAAAGGATTGCTCGCAAAGATATGTTGTAACAAACGGTATGAAAATTCCTCCTGGCTCCTCCCCCTTGACCAGTGCCCCAATAGCAAGCTGCTTGGTATAGGGGCACTGGTGCGTGCTTGCTCCTGAGCCCTGCTCTATGCGTTCATAAGACCAGCCAACTACCCCCCCCCCCCCCTTTGCTCTCTCCTCATTGGCTCACTTGCTGTAATTGACAGCAGTGGGAGCCAATGGTACTGCTGATGTCTCGGCCAATGAGGAGAGAAAGCCAAGGCATCCATGCACAATGCTAGATCAAGAGGGTGCTAGAATGCATGAAGGTAAAAAACCTTCAAGCTTTAGAACCACTTTAAAGATGATCTCCCAGTTTTAGTGAACTTCAAACAGTTCGTTTGGACCAAAGTGGTCCAAAGGAACCCTTCACTTCAATAACAGTTGCAGTTGCTGTGAAGAGGCAGCTAATGACGTCAGTCTTCGACTCATCCAAAGGAATCTTTGTAGTCATTCATAGCCTCCCGTTTTGTTCCATGAACATGACGTTCCCCTTCCTCTGTTGGAACACAGTGCTGTATACTGTATGTAGCTGAGGCCACCTACAGTTTTATACAATGCTCCCAGCCACTGCAGCTGTTAGTGAAGTAAATAGTTTGGACCAACTTGGTCCAAACAACCTTTTTAAACCTCATTTAAAAGCTGGGGATCAGCTTTTAATTTTTTCTCTTTCCTCGTGTTATATCATTACAACACTTCAGGTGAAGGAATTACCTAGTGGCCTGCCAGAAATCCAGCATGCTCCTAACTTAGAGCTGACAACACGCCCTCTGGTGTACTGAAATCCCAAGCAATGTGGTCAGCTGTATTCCTGCTATTCTCCTGTGGACTACAGAGCGGCTCCTTCTCTCTCTAAATCCATAACATAAGGGAGAGAACTTGCACATACATATAGCTTATGGCTGTGATGATTTACTAGAGAA